TAGTCTAGAAGCAATACATGGCTGTGGACAGCTATAACTTTCAAGCATTTTAAAATGGGAGGGGGAGGTGATGTTCTGAGGCATGCATGAAACCACGAAAAATGGCACTATTTACAATCGCCAGGAAATATTGCACTGGCTGGAATTTCCCACAAAATCAACCTAAAAAAAACAACAACCCAGCATATTATTCATATAATACACTGTTTTAGAACGTCCTACTGCTTACCACAACACAAAGACAATGCGACAATCACTGCAGCCATAGATCACGTGATTTAGAGTTTGTCTGAGAAGTGACTCGGACTAAGTGAAGGCGCCAGTCAGTGAAATGAAAATGTTTCAGTGCCATCTTTTAAGAAGTGAAATGCAATGCCAATACCCTTCACCAATCAGTGGCAAGGGCCAGGGCTGCCAGGAAATGCTTCCGAAATCGGCTCTTCATGCTGCAACCAAGCCATACAAATTATTTTGTGTAGTCTTGCGTCAAGTAGATCCCTAGTCATAATGGTATGGAATGAAAGAGGTATGAATTGTTACAATATAACCATTATATATGCATATTCCTACAAGGGATACAAGTGTAGCAAAGCCACTGTAACTTTAACCCTGCTTCTTTCTTTCAGGGCTAAAATTATAGCAAGTAGGAGCATACAAACATAAATTACATCATAACAGCTGATGCCAAGTGAATGTTATTTCTGTCTGTTAAACCCTAAATGAAATATGGGTAAATTTACAATTGTTTTATTCCATTCATTCCACTATAGGAGCATGCGAACATAATAGTTAAATCGGATTAATTTATACCAGTATACCTGTTACATCTGTCCATGCCCTTTTGGAGTCATGCTTGACTACTGAAAAAAAAATGTCTAGCACAGACCCTTTTCATCTCTTTCCTACAGCTGTAGAGCTCACCGAGGAATTGCCTGCCCCTAACAATGTGTTTGTCCAGCACTGAGCACAACAGTTCTGATCACAGTTGGGAACCTGACCGTATTTGTTTTTGAAAGGCAGAATGAAGAAAAAAAGATTTTTCCAGAGTTATGGTTGCATTAAGTAGGGACATACCCTAATCTTCAGCTAACTCAACCTTCCTTTCCTGCTTAAATAAAACTGAAATCCAAGCTGCTGCTGAAGACTGGTCATTATGGGCAGGCCTAGGATTTTGAAAATAGCTAAAGAATCTCCATGGCTGTGAAACAGGAGGAAAGACCACGAGCAGCTAGTGGACAGCAAAACTACCCCAAGAAAGGTTAGCTTTGATTAGTGGGACATCAAGACCACCAAAAAGGAAAGGCTGAAGTGCTCAATGACTTCTTCGCCTCAGTCTTCACAGGCAAGGTCAGCTCCCAGACTACCGCACCAGGCAGCACATTTGGGGAGGCAAGTAGCCAGCAGAGGCAAAAGAACAGGTTAGGGACTATTTAGAAAAGCTGGACATATAAAAGTCTATGAGGCCAGATGGGATGCACCTGAGGGTGCTGAGAGAGTTGGCTGATGAGATTGCAGAGCCATTGGCCATAATCTTTGAAAACTCAGGGTGATCAGGAGAGGTCCTGGATGACTGGCAAAGGGCAAACATAGTGCCCATGTTTAAGAAAAAGGAAAAAGGAAGATCCAGGGAACTACAAACCAGTCAGCCATGTCATCTCAGTCCCTGGACATATCATGGAGCGGGTTCTCAAGGAATCCATTTCTATGCACTTGGGAGGAGAAGGAAGAGTGATTAGGAAGAATCAGCATGGATTCACCAAGGGCAAGTCATGCCTGACCAACCTGATAGCCTTCTATGATGAGGTGACTGGATCTGCGGGTGTGGGGGACCAGTGGATGTGATACACCTTGATTTTAGCAAGGCTTTTGATATGGTCTCCCACAGCATTCTCACAGGCAAGCAAAGGAAGTACGGGCTGGATGAATGGACTGTAAGCTGGATATAAAACTGGTTGGAGCATCAGGCTCAGAGAGTAGTAATCAATGGCTCAATGTCTGGTTGGCAGCCAGTATCAAATAGAATGCCCCAAGGTTTGGTCCTGGGGCCAGTTTTGTTCAATGTCTTTATCAGTGACCTGGAAGATGGCATAAAGTGCACCCTCAGCAAGTTTGCAGGTGACAGAAAGCTGAGGAGGTAGCAGATACTCTGGAGGGTAGGGCTAGGATTCAGGGGGACCTAGACAAACTGGAGGATTGAGCCAAAAGAAATCTCATGAGGCTCAACAAGGGCAAGTGCACAGTCCTGCACTTAGGATGGAACAATTCCATGCACCAGTACAGGCTGGGGGCCGACTGGCTGGGCAGCAGCTCTGCCGAAAAGGACCTGGGGGTTACAGTGGACAATAAGCTGAATATCAGCCAGCAGTGTTCCTTTGCTGCAAAGAAGGCTAATGGCATTCTGGGCTGCATTGGTAGGAGCATTGCCAGCAGGTCATGGAAAGTGACTATTCCCCTCTATTCAGCACTAGTGAGGCCACATCTGGAGGACCATGTTCAGTTTTGGGCCCCCCATTGGAAAGAATGTAGGCAAACTGGAGAAAGTCCAGCACAGGGCAACAAAAATGGAGAGGGGGCTGGGGAACATGACTTATGAGGAAAGACTGAAGGAACTGGGCTTATTTAGTCTAGAGAAGCAGAGACCGAGAGAGGGTTTGAAAGAGGATGAAGCTGGACTGTTCTCAGTAGTGGCAGATGACAGAACAAGGAGCAACAGTCTCAAGCTGCAGCAAGGGAAGTTTAGGTTAGATATTAGGAAGAATTTTCTCACTAGGTGGGTAGTAAAACACTGGAACAGGTAACACAGAGAGGTGGTGGACTCTCCATCTTTGGAGGTTTTTAAGACCTGGCTAGACAAAAACCCTTGGCTGGGATGATCTAATTGGGGCTGGTCCTGCCTTTAGCAGGGGGTGGGACTAGATGACCTCCTGAGGCCCCTTTCAACCCTCATTTTCTATTATCTTAATGCCTCTGGAATAAAAAACACTGAGCCATTAAGACAACTGACTCCCTCAGCTGCTTGAATACTAGTGCCACAGCTGCTGTACTAGCCCTATTTGAATCATATAGGGAACATGGGCAGAAGCCCACAAAGAAACTGCTAGTCCCCCACCTATTATTAGAGGGGGTCACTAGGTGTGCAATCAACAGCTTCTAAGGGGCAACAGAGATGGGGGGGGGTCAAAGTGTGATCACAGGTGCGCCAAGGGGGACACTGAGTAGAGCACACCAGCCAGCACCCACTGGCCCTCAAGCAAGTCCAAAGAACATGTGGACACTACGCAGTGAAACTGCGTGGAGACACTAATGGATGTAGGATAGCTGACACATTAAGCCTTTTTGCTACATCAAGGAGTTCGTGGGCCAAAACTCACCAAGAAATGATAAGCCCTCTTAAACAGGGAGGCCACTAAAAATGCAGCAACTGATTTCTTGGGACAAATCATAAGAAAACAGGAAGGGAGTGAAGGTCACAGGTTAATAACAAGGGAGCTAGAAAGGGAGATTGTGCAGAATACACTGGCCAGTGCCCACTGACCCTTGAGAGTCCAAGGAACCAGTGGCTCCTGGCCAGTGGAACTGCTGGGAGACATGAACAGATGAGGGACAGCTGCTGCACCAGGCCTTTTCAACATGCATAGGGGAATATGGGCCAATGCCCGCCAAGTAAGTCTATAAGCTCCTTTCAGTAAGGGTGGGGGCACTAAGCGAACATCAACTAATTGCTGGGGACAACTAAGAATGAAAACAGGGACAGGAGTGAAGGTCAAAGGTTTATAACAAGTGCTCCAAAGAGGGACACTGAGCATTGCTCACTGGCTCCCAAATGAGTCCAAGGAGCCAGTGGACTCTGCCCAATGAAACTCTGCCCAAAGACAGGCCTATTGGTTACTTTCAAGGGATCATGGGCCATTGCCTACCAAGAAGAAAGGGAGGCCACTGAGAAAATAACTAATTTATTGGGATAAAAGGAAAGCAAAACAGGGATAAGCGAAGGTCAAAGGTTTAAAATGGGTGCATCAAGGGGGGGGACACCAAGCAGAGCACATGGGCCAGTGCCCACTGGCCCTAGAGTAAGTCCAAGAAGCCAGTGGACATAGACTTCATAGACATTTGGGCTGGAAGGGACCCCAAAGGATCATTAAGTCCAGCCCCCTGCAGTCCCTGGTGGTCACCCCCAGCCAGAGCCTCCATCCAGGTCAGGTGTATGGCCAGCTTGGCTAGAGCCAGGACTCCCTGGACACAGGCCTATTTGTCACCTTAAGGGGCACGGGTCTAGGCCCACCAAGTAACTTACTGGCCTCCCGCAGGCAGGGAGGCTACAGGAAAGGTGACAATTGACAACTGAATACGTGGGACAAATAGTAATAAAAAAGAGGAACAGGAGTGGAGGTCAAAGCTTCATAACAAGCGTGCTAAGAGGGGGCACCGAGCAGAGCACACCAGGCAGCTCCCACTGACCCTCAAGCAAGTCCAAGGAGCCAGCGGACACTACCCAGTGCTCCTCTGCTAGGACACAGGAACAAAGCGGGGCAAGAAAAGCAGCCCTGCAGTCCCCAGGGACCCTCCTGCTGCCCAGACACAAGAATCAAAGCAAAGTACTTCTACCACAGCCAGAAAACCAGCTCCGTCCTTAATACACCTCCCCGCCTCCATGTGGGGTATGGAGAGGGGTGATTTTGAAGATGGGGGGGGGAGGGTAAACATACACTGTACGTGAGAAAATATGGTAGCACAAGGGGGAGGTGGAGGCATCTCCTCGGCTGTGCAGTGGGCAGCCCCTTGACTTGGCAAAGGCCAGGAGGAGCCAGCAGGAGGGTGAAGCAGTGGAAAAGCGGACCCCCACAGGCACATGCATCGCCTGCCTGCGCAAATGCACCCCCCCCCACACACACACAGGGACAGGAGCGGGGCACCCTCCGGCAGGTGCAGGGGCAAGGCAGGACTCCCCCCAGACGCAGCTTGCTGCAAGTCCTGCGCCCAAATCCCGCTCCAGCACTTACAGGCCACGAGGTTCCACAGCAGCGCCCCCTCCCTAAGACGCATGCG